GCTCTCCCAGCAAGTGTGATGTTCTGCGTGAAACGTCAGCTTCCACCTTTGAAAAGACTACCTCCTCTGAAACTTAAAACTTGAATAGTACCTTTGCAAGAAGAAAGCCTCTGGATACTGGGGAGAGACTGGACAGAGAAGTCTCTTGATGTATATTATCTAGGCAAAATTGCGTTTGGGCTGAAGATTGACTTAAATTTTTTCTTAATTACTTGACCTGGTCCAGTGTGTGTGAAAAGCACAGATTTGTGTTCTGGGACGTCCTTTTGGTTTATGCATTATTTTTATTTTTTTTCCTATTATGAACAACCCTTCCTCTCTGCCCTCCTGCCCTCTGCTCCTGTTTCCTTCCCGGGCCCGGGCCCACACGGTATTGGGGGACGGGAACGCCGAGCCGCCCGCCTCGTCGGTTTCTTTGTTAGGGACGCCTGCGCGCAGAGGCATCTTCCGGCCTGCCGGGAGCGCAGGGGCCCGGCTCCTGACTTCTTAGAGTCCCCTAAGGACTTGTAAGCATATAGGCTCGAGTCGAGAGGCTAAATTACGCCCTAGGGGACCTTTTAAGTAAAATCCTAAATTTCATTTAGGCTGTTCGCAGACCATGCGATTGCAAAGACTCTTGAGTGGAGGCTCGCCCCTCCGCGCCGCCCTCCCGCGCCGGCTTTGTGCAGCCCGGGCTCCGGAGACCCTGCCTCTCTCGGGCAGTCCGCCCCGGGGTCTGGTTTACGCCACTCTCCCTCCCCTCTCCGGTGGCCTCCGCCCCCCACGATCTCCTCCGGCTCCCAGCCCTTCCGTTTCCTTCCACGGCCGGTCCCCCACCCCCACGTGAAATCTTCCTCCCCTCGGGCTGGAAGAAAAGTCGGTAATAAGAAACCAGTTCAGTGTCAGTCGGGGAGAGGGGGGAGATAACCCCAGAGATACACGGCAATGGAGAGAGAACTCATTTTGTGTAAAGAGGGCCTCGAGTCCCCAGGGAATTCCTGGATTGTCTCAGGCTGTCGTGTGTGATGTCCATCACGCCGTGCGAACACCATCTGCTCGGTATTATGCTCTCAGTTGCCAGGCTACCTGCTGTACGCTGTAACACTCGACTGCCTGGCTCCACGTTCGCAGCGTTAGCCCAGACGCGCGGGGCGGGGGGACGGGGGCGGGGGAGGAACCGGAGTCATGATTAAGCCATCTGCAAATGGGGGTGGGGGGCGGGACACGCCACGCGCGCTGAGCAGGCGAGCTGGAAGCCGGAGGACCGGGCTGACACCACCATCTGCTGGGACAGAGGAAGAACAGCAGCTGCTCCTTGTTCCCCGACGAGGAACGCCGGGAAAAGGCTGAAGCCCAGGGCGTCCTCCAGCCAGTTCTCCGCAAAGTCCCGTCACCCCAGACTCAACCACCGCCAGCAGCCTTTTCTGATCCCACCTTAAGGAGCCAGCAATCTTTGGTTCGCTGCCAGCCACCCCGGGCCCTCTCTCCAAACACTATGCATGTTCTTCAAAACACTTAAGAGAAATAAAGCTTCCCTACGCACAGATTTATAAATAAACAGCTGGCTGTTCTGGGGAGATATTTTTACCACAGCTGGTTTTTGAAGTAGAAAACTGCTTCTTTGGGGGGAGGCAGAGTGTTTTTTACACCTCCTACCTCGCTCCATCCCTTAGAAAATCGCGAAGATCTTTTCCTAGGAGAAGACATGTAAAATAGATTCTTGGTTTTGATTTTTTATCCCCCCTCCCTTTATTTTACTGAAGAGTGAGAGGTTTGGGGAATGATGACGATCTGTGTAGCCAATTGGATTTCTGAGAGGAAGAGACTGAATTAAGATTCTTGGTAGAAAGCAAGGGAGGTTGTCGGGCAGGGGGTGGGGTGGAGAACAAGCCAGTAATTAAAACTAAAAATACTGCATCGTTTGGCTTCAAGGCGTTACATTTCTGGTGACGAAAGCTCAGCCTGGTTTTCTCTAATTGCACACACAGTGTGTGTCCTCCTTAGAAACAAGAACAGTGGCTTGAAATCCTGAGATTCGACAGACTCTTGCTCATTAAGCCCTCTTAGACTGGAGGTTAAAAGCCACCATATAAGATGAAGCAGCTAATGGCCTCAGCCGGCTCAATTTGTAAGGCGAGTCACTTGGTGCATCTTCACACGTTGGAATATACACCCAGGTGTCACTCACCCGCTGTTGAATGCAGCAGAGCTGGTTGGGAAAGTCCTAAAGGTGTGCCAATCTAGAATCACGGATGTTTCATATGGAAGGCAATCCTTTAAAAATGCACATAGCCCTCCTGCCGTTATGTCTTCGGGTCTTTAGTGAGAAACCTGAAGGCAAAACCTTTGGCAGGAAATCATTTAGGGAAATATATAATCCTGTGAAGTAATAACCTAACTGTCCCTCTGGGAAGGCTTTTTCCCACTGTGCTTTTGAATTATTTCTTTTTGCTCCTGGAAGACAGGTGTCAAAAGTGGTTGGATGTACAGATGCCTCTCCGTATTCATGGGGGCCGCATCCGCAGATGCAGCTCCCCCGAATATGGAACCCGGGGATACTAAAAGCAGACTAGGAGACTTGAGCATCCGTGGATTTTGGTATCTGCGGGCAGTGCTGGAACCAATCCCCTGAGGATACTGAGGGATGATTGTATCATCATCACCTCATTTGCCTCTCTCTCCCTTCTTTTCCCGGGTGGGAGGCTGGGAAAGCAACATGACACCACTTACCACTCCTGGGCATGTGCCCCAGCTAGCAGGACTGGTCACACAGAACAGGACTATCTCAAAGTTCACCAAGATAAATGGGGCCTCCCCAGACCAGACCTTCTCATAAAATCAAACTGAAGAAAACTTTATCTTCCCTTGGGTTTCATTTTCTTTCCAACTCTCTCCTCCTTATCAAACTGGAAAGTATCAAATATACTGAAATACTCAGAAAAAACTATGTGTTTTTGCTGATTGGTTCACTATTTATACTTCAATGTGAGTTCATTTGTTAAAGTGTTAGGTCAATCAGCCATTTGTCTCTAAAGGTGGCAAGAAACACCTTTATCCCAGTGGAAGGAAGGGCTTGGAAAACAAGTAGCAAGTATTGAGAGGAAAGGGAAAACTCTGAAATATCTTGACCCCTGCAGGGTCAGTCATAAAGTAAGCTTTTGGGTAGCGTAAAGGCTCCTGGCATTTTTGAGTATAAGGTCTTTTTGATATAAATATTTCATAGCTTTCTACCTGATAATTGTCTATTTACGGAGAAAATACACAAAGCGAGAAGTTTTATTAACTTCAGCAACAACATTTACATTAAAAAAATAGAACACAGTTCATTTATGAGAGACATACTTATATATTTAGTCTACAGGCAATTCTTAGGTGCACACTGGGCACCCTGGAGCCGTCGTCTGGGAAAGGTCTGAGCTAGTGGAAGGAATACTGAATTTAGACCCCGGTTCGGTGTTCTGGTTCTGCTAGTTCTGGTTCTTCCATTTACTAGCTGGGTGACCGGGACTACTGCACTAACTAACCAGAACTTCTTGGGATATTGTTTCCCGGGTGAGAGGAATAATGGTGTTTTGCTTTTTCATTTTGTTTGGGTGGGTGGAAGGAGTGAAGAAGATGCAGTTTAGGTATCTCACAGCAGGAAAGAAAAGTGTGACTGGCTCAGCACCACACGTTGGAGGGAAGGGGGTACAGCAAGCCCAGGCTGGGGGGATCGAATCCAGGACTGTGTCTCTAGGAGAGACAGAGACCAAACTCGACTCTGTGTTTTAAGAGGAAACTGCCAGTGTGGTTGACTGTCTATACAGAAAAGGTAGCAAAGCAAAAAGAGGAAAAATATGAAAATCCAATTTGACTGGATGAAAGTTTTTTTAAATGACTCTAGAGTTATTCACATTCGTTTCTTAGGATTTAAGTCATAATCCTGCTTCACAATATGACTGTCTGTATCCTTACATGTGTACCATTTAATTTGTGGACATCTCAGACATCAGCTCCTCTGTGTTCAGATTAATTACTTGGAAGTTGAATGAATTAAAAGGAACATTTCTGCAAAATGTTCAGACAGTACTTGCTATTACCAAATGTGCTTGGTAGAATGAACAGGGAAGGAAACGTCTAGAAACTGAATCTTATGGTCACACACCCACTCTTCCCATCAGTGTTTTCCCCAAATGGTCTACACTGTCTGGTTGTTACAGACTTCCCCTCGGAGCACATTCTCCAAGGAGTCACTTGGGCTGTGTGTAAACAGGTCCTTACCGCTTTACCTCCTATTCCCTAAGGACCAGTCCTTAAAAGTTGCCATCATTTAACTGACTAACACATAATTATAGAATCAAGAGACCCAGTTCAACCCCCCCACGTTTAAATTATGCCAGACATTCTCGACTCAATTCTATTTTTGAAGATGTTGAGAGATTACGTTTCTTTGGTCAGTGTAACATATTCGCAGTTCTCACCATCAACAAGTCTCACTAGCAGGATTTTTTTTTTACATATATCAAAGCTTTCACATGTTGCAATTAATGAGAATCCCATTAAATAGCAGATCTGTTGATTAATAAATTCCAGCAGTCTTCTGTAAATGTGTCTTTTACCAGCTAAGAAGTCCATCTTGGCCAGGTAGGCAGCAAGGATTAAGAGGCAAGGTCAGGCTGTCTTGTTCCAGACTTTAAAGGTGAGCCCAGCCTCACCTTAAAGGCTTATTCCCTTTCCTTTGGAGGAACGCAGAATGTAGCTGAAAACCCAGGCCTTGTCCCTTAGGCAGCCCCATCCAAAACAGACAGGAGTTGGTCTCAGATTTCCCAGAGCCATACTCTATTACTGTCCCCCTGTAGCCTCTCCAGTTCTACAGTAGTAAGGCCAAGTTTGAAGACTACTGGGTTGTTTTTGTGGAAATATAAGGTGTCTACTCAGGACCCCTTAGGTCTACAAGCCAGAGCCTTTGCCCCATCCCCCTTCCCCCGTGCTTCCCTTTAAATGTGGAATTGCTGCATTCTCTTCTTTTCCTAACCTCCCAGGAGCAGCATCCAGTTGGGCTTCCCCGGACCACAGGCCCCATGCAGTCCTCCGTAGCCCCAGGCTCAGGCAGCATGGTCTCAGGAGCCAGTCCCGCAGGTGCCGGCTTCCTGGGCAGCCAGCCCCAGGCAGCCATCATGAAGCAGATGCTCATTGACCAGCGGGCCCAGTTGATGGAGCAGCAGAAGCAACAGTTCCTGCGGGAGCAAAGGCAGCAACAGCAGCAGCAGCAGATTCTGGCCGAGCAGGTAACGTGCGCCCACGGCGTGATTCATTCGTTCAGCAAGCATTTATTCAGCACCTGGTGTCTGCGAGGGAGTTCCAGTCCTTTGCCAAGATATTCACAGTCTAGCATTTCCCAGGATCACAGAAGAACCTGCAGAATTTAGACCTTTCAATTAGTTAGGCTTTTTCTTAGAATGAATTAGTTTGTTCTTAAAAGACAGTCTTCAGCCATCAATTTGAAGGCCCATTTGCCAGAGGCATTTCTTCAATTCATGCCTGACTGCTTTTCTTCTAGTTTGTAGTAGCAGGGTCTATGTAATCAGCATGGCGGGGTAGAGGGCTGCCTTACATTCTTCGTAAACGCTAATATTTCCAGCATGAAGAAAAAAGAAAATAATTCAGAGAACTTTGTTTCTTGGAGGAAAGTGTCAGGAGGAGAATTCTACAGAGTTGGTCATGAACAATAGAACAGGAACAATAGCAGAATAATAGGGCCCACAGAACTGCCTGGAAACCTGAACTCGGGGTCACAGAAAGGGTGTGAACTTAAGAAAATTCTCAAAATCTTTTAAAGCAGTTTAGGAAATCTTTGAGTTAAAGGAAGGCCTAACACAAATGAAGCTTCACCTTAGAATCATTGTCCGCCTTTGCCATATAATTCCTCCAGCTTTGAAAGGAAGCTTCCCTGAGGGCTGCTCCTGGAGGTTTCAAGGTGTTTTGCTTTTCAAGATCCCCAGGCTGGGTTTAGTATTATCCCAGGAAACACGTGAGGCCTTCCACAAGAGATCCCTAGGTGGCTCCTGTGGGGGGTCTGTACGGGGCATCGCGCTCTTTTATTATAGGAGGTGCGAGCTTGTCCTATAAGGCTTAAGGTCCAATAGAGCTCTGCCCCACAGTTACCCTTCTAGAATATTCCTAATAGGATCAGAATTTTGAAATTTATCAAGCATCCTCCACCACTTAGATACAAGATACTGTGTGGGACTCAGGCATGTTGAGGTCGCTAGTAATCAAAGCAGCAGTTCAAAGTAACACCAGTCATCCTCCAAATAGAAAAATTGTACTGTTGAGCGCAGTTCACTTATGTTCCTTTTTTTGCTTTTGTTCCTGAACAGCTGTGTAATTATCTCCCTTTTCACCAAGGTCAGTCAGCCGCCTGGCAGCTCTTGTACAAACAAGCCTGTATCCCTCTCACCCTGCGTAAGGTGTGTGACAAGGAACCATGCTAATCTCTCTCAGGCAGTGATAAATGGAGCTGCTAGGGGGAGCTGGGCTTTGTGACTCCTCTCCTCAGCCAATCCCAGGAAATTTCAGGTGTGCCTGATGTTTTGAGTGATGGCCTTTGATATGTTTGCTGTGACCAAGGCACAAAGAGGAGCCGGGTAACCAGGCAGAACTCAGTTGTGCGAGCCCAGGAGTGTCCCCACTCAGTGAGGTCCACCAAACCCTGGGAACAAGGAGGGAGGCAGAAGAGTGGGAGAAAAGCTGCCACAAGATGACGCCCACAGACGAGGAGGAGAACGTGGCGAGACCCCTCAGGACCCAGGACACAGAGAGATACAGAGATCCCTGGAAAAGATGAGGAAATGGGAAACTGCAAAAAATGAGTATAATTCCTTAGTAACTGTGTGTATGAAGAGAATGAAGAGGGACCCAGGAAGAATGATTTACTCAGGGTCACAATCTTTTGCTTGTGGTATGATTTTCGAAAAACCAGCTAACCTCTCTCCTCCTCTGCCAGGTTAGGTTTTAATAATTTACCAGTCTTCCTCCTGTAGCTATTTTAAGGATCACACGGAATAATGTGTGTAAAATTCTATGGAAACTGCACAAATGTGTGGGGGGACCTGTCACATGACCCTGATGTCACAGAATGTGATGTTAAGAGCCGCAGCCACATGTACCAGCCATCCTGGGGGCGACCCAAGGGACAAATCCCACAAATGGAACCCAGAGACTGCACTGAAGAAACTGAAGTCAGTGTAGCATCTTACCTGCCCCTGGAGACATTGCTTACTGATGCAGACTATGCAGGGGTCGCCAAGCGGTAGGCTGTCAACTTTTTGTTTGAGAATGAATATTGCCATATCAATGCCAAGCTGATTTTCTTAGTCTCTGCAGCAGCATTGAAAGTGACCTAACAATTTCAATTTTAAAACGAGCATATTAGAAACTCTTGGGTTTCCTGAAAGGACATGTGAGGGAAAACAGAAGGATTTGGGTTCTTGCGTATCTTCCGGGACTCTGCAATGATTCTCAGTGGACTTAGAGATCAGAACCGCAGGTTGAAAGCAGGCGTGAATTAACATTTAATGCCTGCTTCTCAAAGAGCGCAGAACGTCACCTCTCATCCACTCACAATAGTTCAACAGAGCCTAGAATTTTAGATCTGAAAGAAATATTAGACCTCATGATGTCCCTTCATTTTAAAATGAGGAAAGTGAGGCCAGGGAGCTTATGTGATTTAGCTGAGATCGCAGAGTTAGAGAGAAGCACAGCCAGGACTGCAGCTGGGGCGTCCTGACTCCTAACTGGGGGCCCCATCCCCAACCCTCCGCAGGCTACCCCAGGGCTCACTCCCAGTTGTAAATGGGACAGTTAAATTCTTACCTGATATGGAACATTTGGCTGAGGAGAAGCTTTTAAGTGCTCAGCTTGCTCTCAATAATGCCCTTATAATGCTGCCTAACAAATTAGCATGGTTTCTTGTCCACACAATTAATTAATTTCACAGTTTCAACCGTTTTGTGCAAAACACCATGGTAGGCACCAGGGGATTGGGTGAATAGGGCAGAGGCTGTGCTTTTCTTTGGTTGCCAGAGTGCTGGCTGGCCTTGTCCAGAAAAAGAAAAAAAAAAAAAGAGAGAAAGAAAAAGAAAATTATAGAGCTCCCCAGAAACAAAAACAAAAGAAAAAATAGAAATAAACACATGTGTTAAGAAGCGGTCAGTGTGTGTTATTTTTGTAATGAACACTCTCAGGAGCAGGGCCCTTGCTGTATGTTCTCTGTAGAAACGTGCTTAATGAATATTCAGCAGCTACAGAAGGAGGTTAAAAGACACCCCAGAGGTCACGCAGCTACTTGAATGCAGACCGAGACCTAAAACCCCTTCCTCTGGTCTTTCCACCTCACTCTTCTTTTCTTTCCCTTTTCACATACAGCATGATAGTGATCACAATAGCCTTTCCATGTATTGGTAACAGCGCCAGTGGTGCAGAATCCCCGCGAGTGGAAGAAGAAAGACTAAAATGCGGGCCTCCTGGCTCCTGGTGTATGTGGAATCCTGCGCGGTTTCCTCGAGGCAGTAAATGCTGCCTGTTTCATTTGTGGGGATGTCTTTTACAGGCAGTGTGGCCTCATGGGAATAAAATTAGCCTTTTTAAAATCACCCCTGAGAATCCCATCTTCCTATACCTGAAGCATCTATTTAGGTCGTTAAAAACTCATTGCTTGTCCCTTTGAGCTCGGTCCCCACAATGCTAAGGAACACATGCAAGCTGATGTTGGAAAGTCAGAATCAAAACTGCCTCCCTGAGTACACGTTCCTCGTGAGCCAGCAAGTCCACACGTCAGAAATGCCGCAGATGGTCACCAAAAGACGTGGGCAGGGATGTTCACAGCAGCCGTATTCGTGACAGCCCCAAGCAGGAAACACTCTAAATGACTATCACTAGTAGAACGGGTAAATAAATTGTGGTCTATTCCTATGATGGGACACTATTCAACAGTGAGAATGAACAGACCACAACTTCATGCATCGACACGGATGAATCTCACAAATATAACGACGGGTGCAAGAAGCCAGACACAAACACATTGTACAGATCCACTTATAGAAAGTACAAAAGCAGACATCACTAATCAGTGTTGCTAAGTTAGGATAGTGGTTCCGTCAGGATCAGAGGAAGGGTAATGACTGGAAAGGGGCGTGGGGGACTCTTGCCAATGTTCTCTTTCTTGTTCTAGATGCTGGTTACTAGGAGTGTGTTCAGTTATGAAAACCCATCAAACTGTACACTTATGCTTTGTGTTCTTGCCTGCATGTGCGTTATTCTTCAGTACAAAATTTAGTTTTTGAAAAAAAACCTGCCTTCCTGGAACTGCCAAGATATTTAATTGTGTGCTCTCTCCCCATTCCATCCCCCCCTTCTTGTCCTGTCCTAGCAGTTGCAGCAAACGCATTTGCCCCGGCAGCACCTCCAGCAGCAGCGGAATGCATACCCTGTGCAGCAGGTCAATCAGTTTCAAGGTGAGGCCGGTGCACACCTCTTCCATCGTAGCCCTGCCAGTTGTGAAGTGTAAGCGAATGTGTAGCCAGTGACGTTGCCCTATGTGCTGTGTTTATGTCCGGGTAATGTTAAAAATATTCAAGAACTGGGCCGGCCAGTGGTACAGCAGTGAAGTTCGCATGTTCTGCTTCCACGGCCCAGGGTTTACTGGTTCAGATCCTGGGTACAGACCTACCGACCACTTGACAAGCCATGCTGTGGCAGGCGTCCTGCAGATAAAGTAGAGGAAGATGGGCACAGATGTTAACTCAGGGCCAGTCTTCCTCAGCAAAAAGAGGAGGATTGGCGACAGATGTTAGCTCAGGGCTAATCTTCCTCCAACGGAAAAAAATATTTAAGAACTGAGTATACCAACCACTCATAGAGCATTCTTGGAGGCCCCCTTGCTGTGCCAGGCATTAACCTTTTGGTCTCCAGGTCCCATACAGGTCCTAGTGGGCCCAGGGAGGGGTCAGGGTGGCTGTGGGGGTGGGACTGGGACAGCTGTTCTTTACCAAAGATACAGAAGTATTTGAATAGTTTAACAAGCAATAAGGACATACTGGTGCCTGTTGGCCCAGTATCAGCCTTGTTTGTGTCTAGATTGTCATCTCAGTGACCACAGGGGAAAAATCCTGTGCTACATCTTTCTTGCTAATCCCAGCAGCTCAGCTGACCATGGCCCTCACTTCCAACAACCAAAGTGCAAGAACCTGGCTTGCAGCAACTGCTAATCTCTACTGAATATAGAAGACAAACCGGGCCTTGGGTTCGATTGGACTGTCTCGATCCTGCTGCCCTTTGTGGAAATTCTGAATCATGATCCCAGTAGCGATGGGAGCACTGGATGCCCAGCATTGCCATTCCTTTGTAAAGTAGAAAGTCCACTCAAATATCAAACCTTCCATCTCCAGTGGAGAGAGCTCCTGAGGGTCCTGTGTGGGGTGGAGGAACAGCCTGAGGACCCTTCCCAGTCTCATCCACAGGAGTGTTCAGGGGGCCACAGGGGTCGTCTAACGGCAGAAATCCTGATTTTTGTCCTCTGTCCTTTTTATGGGACCTAGATCCATGTGTCCTAACTTCCCAAGTGTTACCTTCCCTTTGATAATCTGACAGAAGCTATGAAGCCCCTTGCACAGAAATATGCACATACGTAAATATATATAAACTTTATCATTTCACGAGTGTTACCCTGCTCAATAGACCGTGGATGAAAATTTATGATCTAAGGTAGCATTTTTGTCTTTGAGGTGCAATACAAGGAGTTTGTGAAGATAATTTAATGAGCCACAACCAACTTTGTTTGTGTGTGTGTGTGTGTGAATGAGGAAGATTGGCTGTGAGCTAACACCTGTTGCCAATTTTCCTCTTTTTGCTTGGGGAAGAGTGGCCCTGAGCTGACATCTGTAGCAGTCTTCCTGTATTTTCTGTGTGGGACACCGCCACAGCATGGCTTGATGAGCGGTGTAGGTCCACACCCAGGATCCAAACTTGTGGACCCAGGGCCGCTGAAGCAGAGCACACTGAACTTTCCCACTATGCTTACCAGGCCAGCCTCTCCACAACCAACATTTTTTAAATGACATACAACAGAAAAGAAATTATCAGAACATATCATAATAAAGGAAACTTTTGTTTCTGTTATAAACCCAAATGTGCATATACTGGATCACACACTGTGAGCTGTGGTTTAAAAGTCTGAAAGCCACTGATGTCCACTGCCAGATCTCACGGCAAATGTCTGTGAAAACACTGGCACTAGAGTAGGTCCCACTGCCTTCCGTCCCTGGACATTTATATCACTTCAGACCCCTTTGGACTTGACACAGGTAAGGCAAAAGGAACTGGGCTGTCCACAGGTGTCCTATGCACTAAATTAGTACCAGAATTCTTGGAAGAATTAGGTTTCTCACTTGGTCATGGATGGGGAGGAGTAGGGGGTGGTCATTGTTACGTGCACAGATATTGTTGCAGACACAGAGCCCTCCAGAGTTTATACTCATAGTTCTCAAACTTTATCTTCCATCAGAATCATCAGCAGAGCTTGTGAAAACACAGACGGCCCCGCCTCACCCCCCAGGTTTCTGATTCAGTAGGTCTGGGGTGGAGCCTGAGAATTGGCATTTCCAACAAGCTCCCAGGAGTTGTGGCTGCTGCTGGCCTGAGGGCCACACTTCGAGAACCGGTGCTTTATATTACGAACTAATTAAAGACATGAAATCTGATAAACCCAGCAGACTGTCTCTTGAGTTTTCTAGGTTCACAACGTTTATTATATTTGAAATAGAGAGGCCCACCGAAATGTAATAATTCCTGTGTATTATGAGTTATTCTGAATGCTTTGGGTGCGGTTTAAAATAGTTCTACTCTTGGGGCTGGCCCCGTGGCCGAGTGGTTAAGTCTGTGCGCTCCGCTGCAGGCGGCCCAGTGTTTCGTTGGTTCGAATCCTGGGCACGTACATGGCACTGCTCATCAAACCACGCTGAGGCAGCATCCCACATGCTACAACTAGAAGGACCCACAACAAAGAATATACAACTATGTACTTGGGGGGCTTTGGGGAGAAAAAGGAAAAAATAAAATCTTAAAAAAAAAAAAAAAATAGTTCTACTCTTTGAACTTTTCTAAAATCCCAAGCCCCAGGTAATCAACCTAAAAATTTAGCTACACTTAAAGCTAAACAACCAGTGACATTTTTTAGGATCCTTGAGATGATTTATAGGATCTTTTTTTTTCTTTTTACTATCTTCAGCATTTTCATGTATTTTACTAACACCCTACATATCATAATGTTATGGATCTGGGGAAATAGCAAATTATAGATAAGAAATATTGTCCTTGGAAAGAAGTTCTGGTAGGAATAACTTGCGTGAGACCCTACATGTTTTCTCACCACCACACATTTCAAAGGTTTTAACAACTGTCTTTCTTTTACTGAGTTTTGTGCCTCTGGGCAGTGTTACATGCCCATGGGGAAAAGCTTGTTTTCACAAATATAGGGCTTCTTGTGAGTGAAAATAATACATAGACCCTTTTAAGAAAAAATTGCATATTATCATCTCTATTCAAATTTGGAAGATTTTCTTTGACATTGTGATGTTAACCAGCAGACAAGAAAATTAATTTGACTACAGTGTCTCACTATAATATCTGTTTTAGACAAAAATAAAGAAGTAGGATTAATAAAAGGCTTTTTTTAAAAATAAATCACCCTTTTTTCTTTTTTTTTTTTAAGGATTGGCACCTGGGCTAACAACTGTTGCCAATCTTTTTTTTTTTTTTCTGCTTTATCTCCCTAAACCCTGCCTGTACACAGTTGTATATCTTAGTTGCAGGTCCTTCTAGTTGTGGGATGTGGGACGCCGCCTCAACGTGGCCTGACGAACAGTGCCATGTCCACGCCCAGTATCCGAACCCTGGGCCGCCGCAGCAGAGCGCGCGACTTTAACCACTCATCCACGGAGCCGGCCCCAATAAAAGGCTTTTTGTTTCTCTTAGGTCAAAAATATGATGCTGATTGCTGATTTTAAAATTTCCTCTTTTTTTTTTTTTTTTTTTTGCTGAGGAAGATTGGCCCTGAGCTAATATCCATGCCAGTCTTCCTCTACTTTGTATGTAGGATGCTGCCACAGCACAGCTTGATGAGCGGTGTATAGGTTCGCACCCAGCATCTGAACCCGCAAACCCCAGGCTGCTGAAGCAGAGCCTGTGAACTTAACCACTACACCACTGGGGCAGCCCCAAAATACTCTTTTTTTTAACCAGTAGAATTACAACTAGATAGTGCAGTCATTTAAACTTAGTAAAAGTAAAAGTTGGCTTGGATTAATGTTTTTTTGTTTGTTTGTTGTCTTTGTTTTTGCTGAAGAAGATTCACCCTGAGCTAACATCTGTGCCAATCTTCCTAATTTTATATGTGGGTCACCACCACAGCATGGCCACTGACGAGTGGTGTAGGTCCATGCCCAGGAACAGAATCCAGGCCGCCAAAGCAGAGCATGCCGAACTTAACCACTAGGCCATGGGACCGGCCCTGGATTAATGTTTTAATACCTTTTAAAAGGCATCGCAGCATTTTTGCCTTCCTAAGAAAGGAAGCTATTTCTCATTCACAAAATTAGTCCCGACAATATCCAGTCCCTCAACATATCCGTTATAAATATACGACAAAAATGTCCAAAATATGAAAGTCATTTCATCTGTTTCCAGCAGCCCATCAGTCTGTCTATGTAATTTCAGTCTACCCAATCAGTCTCGGAGTCAGCAATATTTTTCCCTTAAATTTTTTTATAAACAACTCAATAACCCGTTTCACCACAGTTGATCAGATTGGCCCTGCAGTTGATTCAAATTTAGTCGTTAAGGTCACAAAACTTCATAACAAGATTACAATTCAGTGTTTAATCAGCAGCTTTTTACATTTTTTTTTTTAAATCTCTTAGATAGAATTAAGCTTAAAACAAAAAATTGAAACATTTCTAAGGAGCTCCCTCACATCTTTCAGGTTTCCCCACGGTAACCATTTCATTTTTCAATGCAGCATGATATTGATCTCAAGCCACAAAAACTTAAGCTATAATCAAAATTCCCGTAATTTTCTTTCTTAAAGAAAGAAAGAAAATATGGAGACATATATGCTACCCAGAAATCAATACCCCCATCCGGAAGACAAAACCACGCTTCAGTTATCTGCCAAGGTGCCAGGTTTAACGAGGTTACACTATTGTCATCTGGTTTCTCATCCCAGTTCCAGGTAGGAGCAGATTTGCTTATAACATCGATTGGCTCCCATGCTGCATCTTTTTTTAAGAGTCCAGGAAAAAACTATTTTTCTTTTTCTCGTAGACTTAGTCATTAGCAGAGACATAGAAAAATGCATTTTGGTGTACCTCCTAGCCCTTCGCAACATTGAGTGGGGTTCTGAGGGTGACATTGCTATTCTCTTGGCTGGTCTGGAAATTTTCGTAGAACATGTAAAGAAGGACTCACTCAAATGCCTAATTAGAGTTGAGTGACTTGGCATTGATGCTCTGGCCAACTTTTAAGCAGCATCATTAGAACTACGCTAGCGATCTACTGAAAGAAGTAGTCACTGCCCATTTGAAGGAGTGGACTTCGCTGGAGAAATGTGTAAAGTTCATTGCCAAGTAGCAAGTAGCAGGATGATTTCTTTTTCTAGCTCAGGAAGCTGGCCAGTTTGCACTGACATGTTATGATTCAGAGAATCTGGAGCATGTGGAAATCTACAGAATGGATCCAAAAATTTCCTGTCTATCGAAATAACTTCTTAGCAGAAACAATGGCCTTTAACCTCTCAAATCCTACAAGTCTCAAGGGAAATTAGCCTAGTGGTCTTTATTGATAGTAGTCTCTGCTGAACCATGTTCCATTTCACAAATAGAATATGCAAAGTGATCATCCATTTCTTCTTAATTTAGCCCAGGAGGTGAATTCCCTCTCACCTCCAAGAAAAATAATCTCTTATTGGTTGAGGATGGCATCATATCAAGAAGAGTAAGAAAAAACTTGCTTCTGAAATGTGAACAAAAATAATATCAGGGTATATAAAGTGAAAAACTCAACTTAGAAAGCATGCGTCCAGTATGATCCCAATTTTTGTGTGTCTATTTATATATAAATAATAGTTGGAAGTGGTCATCTCTGGATGGCGGGAATTCAGGTGACTTTAATTCTCATCTTTGTGTTTTTCAGTGTTCTCCAGATTTTTCATAATCAGCATATGTTATAAGCAGAAGAATAATTGTTTTTTATTAAGGATTTGTTATCAGAGTAGATCCTTTCATATAAAAGAATTTGTCACTCCCACAGAAAATTCCAACAACTTGTTACAGTACATTCCTTATCAGAAGAGTGAGTGATGTGTGTCTTTTTTTCCGTGCAGGTTCTCCCCAGGATATAGCAGCCGTGAGAAGCCAAGCAGCCCTCCAGAGCATGCGAACATCACGGTTGATGGCACAAAACGCAGGCATGATGGGAATGGGACCCTCCCAGAACCCAGGGACAATGGCCACAGCAGCAGCCCAGTCAGAGATGGGACTGGCACCTTATAGCACCACACCTACCAGCCAGCCAGGAATGTACAGTATGAGCACAGGAATGACCCAAATGTTGCAGCACCCAAACCAAAGTGGCATGAGCATCACACACAACCAAGCCCAGGGGCCGAGGCAGCCCGCCTCTGGGCAAGGGGTTGGGATGGTGAGTAGTTTTGGTCAGAGCATGCTGGTGAACTCAGCCATTCCCCAGCAGCACCAGCAGATGAAAGGGCCGGTAGGCCAGGTGCTGCCGAGGCCCCAAGGCCCACCGAGGCTGCAGAGCATTATGGGAACGGTCCAGCAGGGAGCACAGAGCTGGCAACAGAGGAGCTTACAGGGGATGCCTGGAAGGACTAGTGGAGAGTTAGGAGCATTCAACAACAGTGCCAGCTACCCACTTCAAGCTGGCCAGCCGAGGCTGACCAAGCAACACTTCCCACAGGGACTGAGCCAGGTCGTGGACGCTAACACTGGCACAGTGAGAACCCTCAACCCGGCTGCGATGGGTCGGCAGATGATGCCACCACTTCCGGGGCAGCAGGGCACTAGCCAGGCCAGGCCGATGGTCATGTCTGGCCTAAGCCAGGGCGTCCCTGGTATGCCAGCGTTCAGCCAGCCCCAGGCACAGCAGCAGATGCCCAGTGGCGGCTTTGCTGCAAGCAGCCAGAGCCAAGCCTATGAGCGGAACCCCCCTCAGGACGTGTCATACAATTACAGCGGCGAAGCAGCTGGGGCTTCCTTCCCTGGCCTCGCCGACAGTGCAGACCTCGTGGACTCCATCATCAAAGGTGGGCCTGGGGATGAGTGGATGCAGGAGCTTGATGAATTATTTGGAAACCCCTAGTCAAGAGGGGCCCCAGGAGCCACAACTCTAGTGGTTAAAGCTTAACGTGAAAAAGAAACAGGATGTTGACCCATCCTTGTTTTTTCGTTTTTTTGACCCACGTAAACTGAGCAAAACTGCAGCTGGCTGACAGTGGAAGATCCAGGTGCCAATCCACAGCCCCGCGGGGCCTCATTTCACCTGATTTCCACACAGCAGTCGAGACGAGATGCCATGCAGATCCCTGCTGTGAGAGAGGGAGACACGCCAGAGGCAGGTGGGGAAGACGAGTCTGAAGCCCCTGTGCTCGGCATTCCCTGTGACCACCTGGCCCAGCAAGGGCTGCGCCAGCCAAGACGGACTGCTGCCCAAGGTGAGGTATCCGTCTGCCCCTCCTGGCCCAGGTCCGGAGACTGCAGCTTGGGAGACACAAAAGTGACAGAGCCTCAGGCCAGGGAGAGTCCCACAGAGGCTGCTGGGTGGTTGCGCAGGCCCAGAGCACAGGTCAGAAATGCGCTGGACTCTGGCTGGAAAGAGATGTCAGGCTTCAAGACGTGCTACTGTATTTGGAGGGTAGACACGAAGAGCAGTGAGATGTCTCAGGGAGACGACGACAGATCCTACAGGCCTGTCTCCTGCCCTGTGATGACCCTCAGGAATTTGAGAGGCGTTGCTGTCGGCTGCCTCACAAGGATTGCCAAGTAAGCTTGGAGAAGGGTCCCTCCAGCTGTCCTGGGGAACAGCCCTCTGCTGGTGGCCATGGTGGCCATCCCTCCACGTAGTTGGGCTGGAACCTCCTGGGGGCCCGGATGATACTTATACGTCTAGGCAGTTCCCATCTACTTGTGGCTGGATGCTGTGTGTCTGCCAGCATGCCGCCTTTCTCCCTCACCCCTGCCTTTATTTCTCCTTGCCTCCACTCCAGCCTGCCCTCGCTTCTCCTTACAGTCTATCCAAGAAGAAATGAAGCTTTTGTCTCTAGGGAGCCTGGGCAGAGTCAAAATAAATGCAAGAAGAACTTAGACAATGCCTGAATTGCAAAGGCGACACTGGAGTTTTCTGTCTCTAACGTGTAGAGTTGAGTGAATATTCTCTGCTGGGAACTGAGTGGGCTGCTCTGCTGATGGATGGTGGGTTTGTATGAGCTGCATCTGATACCTCTGGTACACCCAGGGATGAATGGCCTGGAGGTCACTGGCTCTGGCTCCCCTTGGGAAAATCCCAGGGGTGATGCTGTAAAATTGGCCTTGTCCTTAATCCTTACTCACCGAAAAGACAAATCTAAAATCCTGAGAGATGAGGAACTGAAAAATCAATTGCTCCACCTTATACATTTTGGTGATAAAAAGGAGGAAGATATGGTTCATTTCATATGGGCACAGTCATCCACTTCCAAAGTTCTGTACAGTTGTTCTCCTTGTAATTCACTCAAATTTGCCCTAACCGGAGACTGCCGGAAGGGATCAACAACCTCTTCTATCTAAGGCTTGTCTCTGTAGTCCTCGCCTCCCCTCCCACTGTCCTCTTCTGGAAGCCATGTGGCCTATTGTTGTCCCGAGTAAGAAGGGCGTGTGCTTTTCTCCTACCACTCCTTCCCTGCGTGAACGAAAGCCTGGCTCCCTTCTGTGCACTCACATGCAACTTGCCTCGCCAGAGCCCAGGCGGGGCTGTGGGGAGCAGGACTGGCTGCACTCAGGGCAAGGTCCTGAGAAGGGGGGTTCGAATGGAAGGCTGGGGGCAGAGGATGTAGTGAGGCGGCAGGCAGGCAAACACTGCCCCAGATGTGCTCGCCGTGTACCAAGGTTATACAGTTGTGCGTTGCTGACAACACGATACATTCTGAGAAATGTGTCCTTAGGCAATTTCATCATTGTGCAAACGCAGAGTGTCCTTACACAAACCTAGATGGTATATAGTCTACTACACACCTAGGCTGTATGGTACTAATCTTGTGGCACCACCGTCATACGTGCGGTCCATCGTTGACCTGAACGTGATGTGGCGCGTGACTGTGGATCTACTCAGCAAGGGGCAGGATGGAGGCCAGAGCGGGCCAGGTGGGTGAGAGCCCAGGCAGGGGCTGTGCTCCCTCTGGGAAGAGGTGGTGGCAGGGTGACTGTGAACTCCCTGCACGGGGAGGGACACCACCAAGGAAACTCTTGAGTGGAAACAGATGAAAACCAAAAAAAAAAAAAGAAGTAAACAAACAAGAAACAGAATACATAATTACCTTTTTCTGAAAGGTACAGGAAATAAATATATAAGCAATGATGAGAAACTGGAGGTGGCTGATGGGGAGGGGGGCACTTCGTTACCTTTTCAAAGCTTCCTCCAAATGTTCAGTACTGGGACCAACTAAATAGAGAGGTAGATTTTAATAAGGTTGTTTTGTTTTGTTTTGTTTTTCCTACGGTGCTGATGTATATGTAATGTCTAAAAAAGTTATTTGTAAATAAGTTTTTACAATACTGCAGATATCACTGGGTCTACTATCTGTAAAAAATATACATATAAATATATATATACTGTTTGTTTAAAATAGAGTATTTTTATTTCATTCCTTAACTCATCGTCACAGCAGTGGTATTGCACTTCAGATGACATCTAATGACTAATTTGTACTGTATGACCTATGGCAACTTGCTCCATTTTATTCAGATTTTTCTAGTTTTCTGTTTTTACTTTGTACATTGAGCATTGCTTATTTCCTTTTAATAAATGTACAGAACTCTGAAATGTAGAAATGAAGTGATGTTGACATACCACTTTTAAAGGAAAAAAAAATGAATAAAAGATTGTTATCTGAATCAATGCAAAGTTTAGTTTCTTTTAGGATTGTCACTGGATCTCCAGCCTTAATTAGGCAGATATATTATGCATGAGTTTTAATTGATTAACTGCAGTTCTTGTCTCAAAAGTTTGGTGTCATTTTTTTAAACACTCATGTAACAGAAGAGATCAGTCAGTCATTCCCAGCCTTTTTAATTCAACCACACAGCTAGAATATTCTAAATTTGCACTCCGGGGGCTGTGGCAAAGGGAGGAGAGCAAAGTCAACTTTGGAAGGAACATACTGAAGTCCATTTTAGATTCAGTACCATAACAATTCATTCCCCCTGGTTCATTCAGAGGACTTGGAAAATTGATAGTAAAATTTTTCTTGAAAAAGGAAGGAAACTCAAGGAATATATTGGGGGGAAAGTAACTTGCCTGGACAAGCCCTGAGATGGGATCTGAGCTCCAGCGCCCCCTGCAGGATCAGGCAGAGGCTGGGACTTTGCCTGAAGTTGCCCCTTGTTTGGTTTCTTGCCTGTCTCTGTCCCGTTTTCCCTCTTAGGAGCCCTTCATGAACAAATCACACACATGTGAATCCACCCCTCCACTTCCAGAAGACCTGACCCAAGACGTGCCATCAAACATTAAAAATATAGTAACACAACACATTTCAAAACTGACTGGGTGAAGCAGAAAAATAGGCCACCAGAGCAGAATAAAGTCATCACCAAAAATAGATCCGAAACAAAGGTGAGTTTTAATATATACAAACCAAGGGAAAGAATGAACTTGATCGTAGAAGAAGAGGCCAGCTCTATCACCGTGGGCTGTGCTTCCAGACTGGCTGGCAAGTAACACTGTGGAAAACAATGCGACACTGGGCTTTGTCCCAACAATACCGGCTCAGTACTCTACCAGGTACCATGGGATGGAAAAATAAGCTGATTCGTGGCTGGGGTGTGGGAAGGCTGATGTCAAAAGTGAAAACATGAAGCTCTGAGAAGAGTTGGATGATCCCACTAGTCCTGATTAATTCAAATAAAATATTTTTATTTACACGGAAATTTGTTCTGCACTAGGTGAATGCAATACCTTTCTCCTTTAAAACGATTTCTTATATGTAATTGTATTGACCTTTATGAAATCCCAGTGCAGTAAGTGCGTGATGGAAGAAGAAGGTGGGCGAAAATAGACATCTATCCAGGAAGTCACTAGGCATCCGCCCCAGTGAGAAAGATGTATTTTATGGCTGAAACTTAGAGAACATTCAAAAGCATTAGATGAGCTATTTCTGTCTTTGGCCTTCTTAAAGGAAGACTGTGTCTGGAGAAAAAGAGTGAAAAACAAATGACCTGATATTTTTTCCTTATTAATGACTTTTTTGGCCACATCCCACCTACCTCCAACCTGCGAAGAAAAGCGGGGGAGGAAAAACCCCTGGGAAGAGAGCAGGGCTGCTTGTTTGCATAACCAGCCCATTTTCTTCTTATTTTCTTTTTCGTCTTTTTTCCTCTTCTTTTCTCTTCGCTTTTCTCCTCTAGTCTCGTTTTTTGTTTTAAGTTCTAAGGTCTAGTGTCCTCTGGATGAGCTACCACACACAGACACCCGTCTCATTTCATGCAACAGGCAGAGGTCATTACAACAGCTTCCACACACATGGCCCCAGTGTCCCTGCCATGTCCAGGACAGCTGCTGGGCCAGCACTAATGCTGCGGCTCTATCCATACCATAGATCCCAAATCAAGCATACAGCACTCAACATAAAAAATCTTCAGGGGCTGGCCCGGTGGCGCAGCAGTTAAGTGCACACATTCTGCTTCTGTGGCCTGGGGTTCATCGGTTTGGATCCTGGGTGTGGACATGGCATCGCTTGGCAAGCCATGCTGTGGTAGGCGTCCCACATATCAAGTAGAGGAAGATGGGCACAGATGTTAGGGCCAGGCTTCCTCAGCAGAAAGAGGCAGATGTTAGCTCAGAACTAATCTTCCTCAAAAAAAAGTTCATTCAGAGCTACCAAGAACTTGATTTTAGATTTTAACTTTGCTTCAGATTTTTAAAAATTTCATTGTGAACATTTTCAAACAATCAGAAAAATAGACTAGTACAATGAATAACTATACACTTACCAACTCAATTTAATAATTGCTAACACTTCACCATATATGCTTCACATACATATTTTGCAGAACCATTTCAAAGTATACACCTCCAACCACTTCATCCCTCAACCTCTCAGCATGCAGCTCCAAGAAATCAGGACATTCTCTTCTCTAGCCACAATATCATTATTATCACACCTAACACAATTAACATTAACCCCGTCATATCATCTAATTCTCACTCCATATTCAAATTGCCCAATTGTCTCCCAAATGTCTTCCAACATTGCCATTTTGTTTTATGCCTTTTTTTTTTAAAGATTTTATTTTTCCTTTTTCTCCCCAAAGCCCCCCTGGTACGTAGTTGTGTATTTTTAGTTGTGGGTCCCTCCAGTTGTGGCATGTGGGACGCCGCCTCCACATGGCTTGATGAGCGGTGCCATGTCCGTGCCCAGGATTCGAACCGGCGAAACCCTGGACCGCTAAAGCGGAGCACGAGAGCTTAACCACCCGGCCATGGGACCAGCCCCATATGCCTTTTTTTTTGGTAAAGACTTTTAATACAGAAAAGTTCTTCTCCATCCCTTTTTTCATAACATTGACTTTTTGAGGCAATGAATCTGATTTCTGAAAATAAAATTAGTCAATTTACTAATATACAAAAAATACATATGTAATTGTCAAACAGATCAGAAACTCACATCTCCGTGGCCAGCATGTTTACTCTCTGTAGCCGAATTTATAGAAATTAAAATAATCAAGAGGTTGCCTTGGTGACAAAAGAATTAGAACAAAGGCAATAAATTCTATAGTTCAGATGTTTAAAGGTACAAAGGTCCAATATCCTGGTGCACCCATTTTCTTTTTCCATATATTGTTTAACCAAACTATGTGTGTGTGTATTTATAATTTGCACCTATAAAATTGTTCCAATTTAGATGCAAAATAGAAATTGTTTTAAAATCCTCAAGTGTAAGATTTGGAAAGTTGTGGGTTTTTTCCCCCCACTTCTAAAGTATATGATTATGCAAATAATTGCACTTTCGGGTCAAAGATTTGTGCACTCTCTTCTTTCGCTGTCTTCAATATATAAAATAATTAAAATGTCACAATACAAATCACCATAACCAATCAGAATACTAAAAAGTAAAAATACCATAGAATCAGCATTTTAAAATATTAGCCCCATTTTGTCTAAGAGAAAACTGAGGCAGAGAGCTACAAAGTGCTGGGGTAGCATAGCCAGCAAGTGGTAGAACAGGTTTAACGTCTAGCTCTGGAGTCTTCACTTCCTGCTGCACTACCTCTATTGACCAGATGCCTTGTCTGGAGTCAAACAGCCAGTGAGTGAGGGAACCGGACTTGTATCCAGGTACCCCATCCCAGACTAACACATTCTCCGTATACTTTAAGACATTTAGTACTGCTATTTTAGATGCAAGGGATTGTCATGTCTTCTCCTCTACTTTTCTGGAAGCACTAGTGTTTAAATGCCTTTATTTCTTTTTCTATTATTCATAGGCTTTGTAACTTCCTTTGTACCCATAAAAAAGAAAAGTTCCAATAAACAGCTTCTGGAAGATGCCCACGCCAGACGCAAGGCTGTCCAACTTTCTTTGGAAAAATCTACAGAGAGCTCTTTTCCTGATGTTAAAATGTGTTATATAGGCTCATAATTCTGCTTTCCTAAGGTCTCTGAAGACTGTGAAGTGGACTCATTCCCATTTTACAGATGAAGAAAGTGAAGAAAGGTCATTTGCATTGTGCTAGACGGCGACTGCACCTCAGGGTCACAACAGCAGCCGGCCCCAAACCCCACATGACACCCAGAGTGCAGTGGAAACCAGCCTAGGCTCTCCAACCATGACCATGACCCTCCTTCCCCTCCCCAGGGGCAAGAATATTCACTGAGCCCTGGTTTCTGGATGGTTCCTTGAAAACGATGTACCTTTTCTCTTTTTCCTTTTTTCTTTATGAAGTCCATTTTCACAGCCGGATTTGTTTTGTGCTCTTAGTTGATCACTCTCTTCTCTGGCTACTCTATGTGTTTGCCTGACTTCCCAGACACGCAGCCATCTGTTGCTTTCCTGCAACCAGTGAAGTGGGCTCAGCTGCCTTATCAGTGTCTGTGTGGAGCTTTCCATAAGAGAGAAGCAGTCTCAGAGATGAGTGATGGCAGTGGTCCCTAGAAAGTCCAGCATACAGGTCAGGCTGTTCCTCCCCACACAAGCACAACTTTAGCATTGACAACTATAACCAGGGCTCAGAGCAAACTTCATTTCTTAAACAAACAGGAAATGTATATTCTCTAACCGGTATGTTTCTACAAAGCCATTTCAAAAAAAACAAAACGAAGACTTTCATTTTTTTTAATTGAACAAGTGACACCATATAAGCTTCAGAGTGGAAACATCTTCTGCAAGCATTTGAGCAAAGGGAGGGGAAAAGTTAGAAGTGCCTCAGTTTCTTGGCAACATTGAGGTCTAGGTATTCATCCAGAAAGCTGTTTGCAATCCCCAGGGCGCCCAGGATGGCCAACAAGGCCAAAATCCCCAGACCCAACCGGAAACCAGTCATCCTGCAGGGTGGATATGAGGGAAAGAGGTTATAAACAGGGCTACAGTGATGAAGCCAGGAGTCCTAAAGTAGGCTGCTCATCATTAACACCATCTAGAACTTCTGTGTTCTTGCCATTTGAAAATTTTGATTCATCACATAAAGGGGAAGCCAACCACAGAGGTTAATTGGCTCCTTTGAACATTCAAAGGATTATCAAAGCTGGGCAGGATTATTTCCTTGGTAACATCTTGGAGATAGTGCAACATTTTTGCAAGGATTTAAAATGTGGTGGTCAAGGAGTGCACATTCAGTGCACAGTTTTATATTTGCATGTTCTGCCTCACATCTAATCACATACGGCCTGGTGAGACTTGGCCTCAGGCAGCATAAATCTCTTTTGCAATCACAACCATCAGTGCTGTTAATACTCTCAGGAAGAGGAAACTAATTCAAACTCCATCCTGCTACTTTTTACCTAAACACCCAATTCTTGGGTTCTCCTTACCTTTTGTTAGCAGCTTCTGAATATCCCCAGAAATACTGGTGACGGGCATAGATGTACAACAGACCCAGACAAGTAGCAAAAACTATAGAGATAGAGAAAAAAATAGAGAAGATGGAGAGTCTGATGGCAGTCTCTCAAAATGTGATGTAAAGACTGAGAAAATACTCATAAAACATACATCTGACAAAAGACTCATGTCCAGAATATATAGAGAACTCTGACAATTCAATAAGGAAGGAAAAACAACTTAATTTTTAAATAGGCAAAATATTTGAATAGACAATTCACATAGGAAGATAGACAAAGGTACCAATAAGCATACAGACATTTTTTCAACATTATTCAACATCATTCAATATTAGCAAACTGCAACTTAAAACCACAATGAGAGGACACCACTTCACACCTGCCAGAATGGCTAAAACTAAAAAGACTGATGACACAAAATGTTGGCGATGTTGGAATCCTCATACATTATTGGTAGGAATGCAAAACAGTACAGCCACTCTGGGAAAAGCTCTGGTAGTTTCCTGTAAAACTAAACATACTTTTTGACCCAGCAATTCCATTCCTATGTATTTAAACAAGAGAAATGAAAGCTTGTGTCCATGAAAAGACTTGTACAGAATATTCATTGCAGCTTTATTCATACTAGCCAAAAACTGGAAACAGCCTAGAAGTCTTTCAACAGGAGAATGGATAACCAAACTATGATAACCACACAATGGAATACCACTCGGCAATGAAAAGAAACAGGTACTCACAACAACATAGTGAAGCTCAAAAACATTTTGCCGAGTAAATGAAGCATCACACAAGAGTACAATATTGTATGATTCCAATTATGGAAAGTTCTAGAATGGGCAAAACTAAACTATGATGAAAAAAATCACAACAGTGTTTGCCTCTGAAAGGGGTTGACTGGGAAAGGCATGAGGAAACTTTCTGGGTGGCAATCATGTTCTATATCTTGTTAGGGTTTTGGGTCACATAGGTGTATATAGTTGTCAAAACTCATCAAATGGCACACTTAAGATTTGGGCATTTCATTGTATATAAGTTTTACCTGAAAGAAACGTAAAGTGTGGCATGAAGTTCTGCCATCCTGTCCAACGAATAATATCACATCCTCCCTACATTAGGGACCCTCTCTCTTCCTCAGCACCTCACAGATACAAGTTGCCAGAGCCCTCTTGTACACACTTGGAGTCTATCTCTGGGACTCTGGTAGGTTAGACAGAATTAAATTTGTTAAGTTATTCAGTCACAAACATTTTCTCTAGTTTCTACCATATACAGGTATTATTCTAAGAACTAGGCTTAGCAGTGAAATAGATACAAGCTCCCTGCCTTTATGGAGTTTACCAGCTGAGACAGACAACAAACAGAGGAAAATGAGAAGAAAATTACAGATCTGAATGTGCATTGAAAGAAATGAAGAGGAAATGGGCCAGCGGGCACTGGAAGAGGCCACCTGTAGAAAGGGGTCGGGGAAGGCCTTCCTGAGGGGCTGACATTTGCTTTGGGGCCGGAAGGATGAGAACGAGAGGGCCAATTGCTGGAGAAGAAAGGGTGGCAGGGCCACCTGGCGTCTGAGGAAGTGGAGAGATTGTGAGCATGTTGAGGTCTTGAAACTTCCTATCTAATGATTACTCCCACAAAGCCAAGGAGAACTGTTCAGGGCAGTTAATAGGCTACCTACTCTGGGTGAGAAAGAATGAAAAGAAAATTATGACACGCAGATACCCGAGAAATCCTTTCCTGACAGGCAGTCAGCCTCAGTCAGCTCATCACAGTGAAATCGAAAGGGTCGAATGACAGAGACTGAGTCCCATTATCAAAAGGCACTTTTCTTATTAGCTGTTGATGTGGTCTCACCTGACAAGAAACAATGGCCTCCATTCATGCCCTTAAGGGACAAAAATGTGTATTGGAATAAAGTTAAGAAGTCGTTCTCTGAGGGATATATTATCTGAAATTCCTCAGTTGACGGCAAAAATTACAAGAAGGGATAGGGTTGCCTTTGAAAACAGCTAGATTTTGGTTTATTTAAATCTTAGCAATCAAATGTCAAACTTAAATGAGGCAGTGAGAACTATCAGAAAGCAAAGGGATTGAATTTCTCCAACTAAGGGAGCTGGTGCTGGTCCAACCCCCTGTGAAAGGCACAGAGTTTGGGTAAAGCCTTCAGCTCACCAGGGAGACCCCAGTCAGATAGAAAGGAGATGTTTGTAAAGTTGCTACATACAAACAATAGCACTGCATCATCCGGAACTCTTAAGAAAAGAGACATGGATGGTTGGGTCAAATACTATAGATCCCGCTCTGTACTTGGAAGCTAACTTTCTCCTACATCGGTGAAGGTTAAATTGGACAAATAACCTCTCTGTTCTTCAGTTTCTTTATCTGTAAAGTAGAAGTTAATTACTGAAACTACCTCATAGGAAGGTCTTTAATCCTATGAAACCCATGCAGGAGATAATATATGTATAAAATTTAAAAATAGTACCTGGCACAGAGTAAGTGCTAAACAAATGTTAGCTATAATAATTAAGGTGAATTGTTAATTCTGTGTTCTGTTCTTGCAGATAAATTAGAATTTAGAGTGTTAGGTTTGAAGATAAATCTTGTGTCATTTTCATCCTGAGTGCCCAACATAGTTTGTTCCAAGTTTTTTAAAAACTACTGAATTGGAATGAAGCCAGAGTTAGTGTACCTGCAGAACAGTGCTCTGTGATGCACAGACATTGCTCATTTTGTTTAAAACAATTTCCAGGATCAGGATATGTGTGTTTACATGTCTGCTCCTTAATAGTTCTAAGAACTGTAGTCATCATTAGGACAGAGTTGACCATATTTTAAAATTACCTTGGTTGAAATACCACCCAGCCATCCACAATGTAATCATGAATGCGGGGTAAAACTCCACACTGTTTTGTCTGCAAGGAAAAATAAAGACATGGGTTATTTTATGAGAAAACTATATACCAAAGCATTGAGTTTTCATCTAGTGGTAAATGTCCAGTGTCTTCTTACAAAAATAATATAAGAATTTACATAAAGAGTTTAAATGTCCTTACATGCAAAATGAGTCTTTCAAGATGGGACTCAAACCTCAGAGCATGGCCAAGACTCGTTCTCCTACGGGTAAGCTGTCATTAGTAGAAATGAATTGTAGCACTTTTCCAAAAGACAGGCCTTGAGATGGTCCTGATTCTGAACCTAAAGATCATTCTGTATCTTATCTAAATAACTCAGAAAATAACTCAATTCATAGTAAGTGGATTTCTTCCCCCAAATTCCCTCACATTATTGCCTTCCACTTGAGATACTCAGCACATTAAAAATGGCATTTAAATAATTCCCCTAAAACCTCCTGAAGTAAAAGAATGAGCATATTTTATTCCCATTTTATGGAGAAAAAACTAGGGCCTGAGAGCCCAAGATGACTGATGCCTTGCAGAGAATCAAAGGTAGACTGTGTCATCTCCAGATTCCAAAGCTCTGCCCTAATGTCAAGTCAAATTGCTTCTATTCATAGTAGACTTGGATGGAAAATTTGATACTATTTTAAGCACAGGGAATAGTTCTCTGGGAGCTATAATTAATTCATCTGCACCTAGCAAAGGGAAAAAAGATGAATTATATTCATCTTCCTTCCTGTGCTACACCCCCAAGTGATCTTGGTTAGGTTGGCTGAGCTCTTTGCTGACAATATCGCAACCAGAAAAAACTTTAATATAATTCATAATAAGGTCTTGAGTTGATCCTGGTGGAAGAGCCACAGTCTACAGGATTATAAATGATCCCACATCCTTCCTTAAATAAGCCTTAAAGCTTGTATACTTAAGGTTATGAGGTAATTGACCCAGAAATAGTTGGTTCTGGTTCTTGAAGACTGAGTTTTCTAGCCCAGGTCACCATGAGTGACGCTTTTTTTCTTAATGAAAAAAATAAGTTTTAGTTTTGTTTTTGTGACCAAGATAGTGACATAGGAAGCTTCTGAACTTCCCTACTCCCACAGATGCACTGAATGTGTAGCTACACACAAAGAAATTCATGCTGAAAGAAATCCAGAAGCCAACTGAGTGACTCCTACACATCAGGTGAATGAGAAAATAGCCACACTGAAATGGGTAGGAAAGGCTGAGATACACTCACCCCATAAACACTACGCCCAGCACAGTGCCATACAATCAAGAGGGAACCCTCAATTCCAAGTTGTTCCCCCAGAAGCAAAGGATTTGGACATCTAGCACTCCAACTTTTAAGACTTCCACTTGACAGCTGGGCCCCCAAAACATCTAGCTCTGCAAACCAATGGGGCTTGCATCTATAAGACCCACAGGACTATAGCAAACAAATAAGCAGTTCTTAATGAGTACATGAGCACTCACCCCAGCTATCCCTCCAGGGTGCAGTGCAGAGTGAGCAGGCAAAAACACTTGTCTCCAGTCTTTCCCAAGAAGGGGTTTGACTCCATTCTTTACAAGCTGATGCCCAAGGGCCCAGCTTCTAATTTAGCACACATCTAGGAGCTGGCTATGATCCTCTCTGGAGCCCTGGTGCGCTGATGGGGACTTCTCCTGCTTTTCCACTTCAACTTGCTCCAATGATAAAAACCAGATTGCCAGCATTCATTTAGAAGGATCTTGTACACACATCTGGGACCCCAGCTTTTGTGGCTGCCACCTGAGAGACAGGCCCCCAAATCACCTAGCTCTGATAGCCAACGGGACCTGCATTCACACATCCTACAGGACCATAAGGAGCAGTTTTAAACTTTGCAGTCCAGAAGGGAGTGGGATGATATCTTCAAAGTGCTGAAAGAAAAAAACTGTCAACCAATAAAGCTCTACCCTGCAAAGTTGTCCTTCAAAATTGAAGGAGAGAGAAAGTTTTCTAAACAGAAGCTTTAGGATTTTGTCATTACTAGACAGTCCTTAGAAGAAGTGTTAAAGGGAGATCTTCAATTTGAAATGAAAGGATGTTAAACATGAAAACATATGAAAGGATAAAACTCACTGGGAAAGGTAAATATATAATTAAATTCAGAATACTCTAATATTGCAATGGTGGAGGGTAAATCACTTACAACTCTAGTACAAAGGTTAAAAGACAAGAGTATTAAAAATAACTACAACTACAATAATTGGTTAATGGATACACAATATAAAAAGATATAAATTGTGACATCAAAAACATAAAATGAGTAGGGAGTGTAAAAATGTGGAGTGTTTGTGTGCATTCAAAGTTAAGTTGCTATCTGCTTAAAATAGACTGTTATAAATATAAGATGTTTTATGTAAGCTTCATGGTAACCACATAGCAAAAGCCTATAATAGATAGACTAAATATAAAGAGAAAGGAATCAAAGCATACCACTACAGAAAGAAATCAAATCAGAAAGGAAGAGAGCAAGAGAGGAAGAAAGGAACAGAAGAATTACAAAACAGCCAGGAAATAATTAATAAAATGGCAATAGTAAGTCCGTAACTATCAATAATTACTTTAAATGTAAATGAACTAAATTCTCCAATCAAAAGACACAGAGTGGTTGGATGGATAAAAAAACAATGCTCAACTTTATCCTGCCTACAAGAGACTCACTTCAGCTTTATGAACACACATAGCCTGAAAGTGAAGGGATGAAAAAAGATTCTCTATAAATGGAAACCAAAAGAGAACAGGGGTAGCTATACTTACACCAGATGAAATAGACTATAAGCCAAAAACTGTGACAAGAGACAGAGAAGGTCATTATATAATGATAAAGAGATCAATTAATCAAGAGGATATAACAATTATAAATATTTATGCACCCAACATCAGAGCACCTAAACATATAAAGCAAATATTAACAGATCTGAAGGGAGAAATAGACAGCAATACAATAGGAGTAGGGGACTTTGATACCCCATTTTCAACAATGGACAGATCATCCAGATAGAAAGTCAATAAGGAAACACTGGGATTAAATTCCACATTAGATCAGTAGACCTAACAGACATGCAGAACATTCCATCCAAAGACAGCAGAATAGACATTCTTCTTAAGTGCACATGGAACATTCTCCAAGATAGATCAAAGCAAGTCTTAATAAACATAAGAAGACTGAAATAATATCAAGCATCTTTTCTGACCACAACAGTATGAAACTAGAAGACAATTACAAAAGAAAAACTGGAAAATTCACAGATATGGAGAGATTAAATAATATGTTCCTGACCAACCAATGAGTCAAAGAAGAAATCATAAGTGAAATAAAAAATATCTCAAAACAAATGAAAATGGAAACATGACATAACAAAATTATGGGATAAAGCAAAATCAATTCTGGAGGGAAGTTTATAGCAACAAACAAAAAAGCTCTCAAATAAACAATCTAACTTGGGGCTGGCCTGGTGGCGCAGCAGTTAAGTTTACGCGTTCCACTTCTCGGTGGCCTGGGGTTTGCCGGTTCTGATCCCTGGGGTAGACATGGCACCACTTGGCAAAAGTCATGCTGTGGTAGGCATCCCACATATAAAGTAGAGGAAGATGGGCACAAATGTTAGCTCAGGGCCAGTCTTCCTCAGCAAAAAGAGGAGGATTGGCAGTAGTCAGCTCAGGGCTAATCTTCCTCAAAAAAGAAAAAAATCTAACTTTACACCTCAAGGAACTAGAAAAAGAAGAACAAACTGAGCCCAAAGTTAGTAGAAGAAAGGAAATAACAAAGATCAGAGCAGAAATATGAAATAGAGACTAAAAAGACGAGAAAAGATCAATGAAACTCAAAGCATATTTTTTGAAAAGATGAACAAAATTGACAAAACTCTAGCTAGACCAAGAAAAAAAGAAGACTCAAATAAAATCAGAAATGAAAGAAGAGATGTTATAATCGATAACAACAATAATAAGGATCATAAGGAACTATTATGACCAATTATATGCCAACAAATTAGACAACCTAGAAGAAACTGATAACTTGCTAGAAACATACAACCTACCAAGACTGAATCATGAAGAAACATAAAATTTGAACTGAGTAATTATTAGTAAAGAGATTGACTCCATAATCAAAAACCTCCCACCAAAAAACGTCCAGGACCAGATGGCTTCACTGGTGAGTTCTACCCAACATCGAAAGAAGAATTATTACCAATCCTTCTCAAATTCTTCCAAAAAATAGAAGAGGAGAGGATACTTCTAAACTCATTTTACAAAGCCAGCATTACCCTGACACCAAAGCCAGACAAGAACACTACAAGAAAAGGAAATTATAGGTCAATATATCTGATGAACATAGATGCAAAACTCCTTGACAAAATATTAGCAAACCAAACTCAACATTACGTTAAAAGGATCACACACCATGATCAAGTGAGATATAAAAGGAACATGCCTCAATATAATAAAGATTATATACGGCAAGCCCACAGCTAATATCGTACTCAACAATGAAAAACTGAAAGTTTTTCCTCTAAGATCAGGAACAAGACAAGGGTGCCCACTCTCGTCACTCCTATTCAACATAGTACTGGAAATCCTAGCAATTGGGAAAGAGAAAGAAATAAAAGGCGTCCAAATTGGACAAGAAGAACTAAAACTGTCTGTACATGATATGATATTATACATAAAAACCCCTAAAGGGGCCAGCCCAGTGGTGTAGTGGTTAAGTTTGTGTGTTCCACTTCAGTGGCCCGGGGTTCACAGGTTTGGATCCGGGGTGCAGACCTAGCACCGCTCTTCAAGCCATGCCGTGGCAGCATTCCACGTAAAACAGAGGAAGATTGGCATGGATGTTAGCTCAGACACAATCTTCCTCAAGCAAAAACAGGAAGACTGGCAACAGATATTAGCTCAGGGCTAACCTTCCTCACACATACACAAAAAAACTCTAAAGACTCCACCAAAAAACTGTTAGAACTAATAAATAAATTCAGTAAATTTGCAGGAC